TCCACCGCCTCGTACCTAATCCCTGAAACAAACAACGAAAAGGCCAAAGGGAATACTTACCTTGGACCTTTGACTCTCAAACAAAATTAACGCACTCTTGGTACGTAAAAATTCTAACGAACGTTACAACAACGTTTAGACACACATACACGTTTTGGAAAACGAAAGTGTACTGAGGACTCTTCGCGTCCAAACGCGTCATCCGCGCTAGCCGACACTTGTAACTCAGTTCGACGTACCCGTCTCCCCCCATAGATGGCTCCCATGGTAGGTTTTAGGCACGCATACATGTGAAGGATACGTAAGGTAATCTCCGAAGGGTCAAGCCGAAGGCACAGACATAAAATAGGATGTTTGAAGGGTTCGAACAATGCTAATTTATTGTTGAATCGCGACGGTGCGCTAAAAATTTGAACTTCCTTAGGCTCTGATAACCAAAGACAAACAGAAGAAAACTACGATTAGTCCTGTCCTGTTTGTGTTTGGTTTTCAGAGCCTGAGAAAGCTACAATTGTCAGCGACACGTCGCGATTTGACAATAAATGAGTATTGCTTAAACTCCTTCAACATCCCATTATTTATTCCATTACTATCATCCACGGAAATGAATAACATCACTAACGTTATTCTATTGCATGGAGACATCATCATCGTTCATCCCTCGATCTAGATGACGGAGTCGGTACGTGAAAACACCGTTCAATTTTTTCACAAATAATAAATGTGCTGCATGTTTTTGTTCGCGATTCACGCAAAGATGATTGATCAGATTTCAATGCGATTCTCCCTGTTATTTAGTAATTATTGCGCTAAGTTGCATACAAAGGAATGCAGCAGAAAATATTTGAGAACTTTCTGGAGATTTCTCGAACCTATTGGAACTTTTCAGGATTTTCTTTGAAATTATAAATTGCTAAGAGAAAAGTATTCCCTACTGCAGTGTGCAACGAAGAAACTTTTAGAACTTCTTAGAGAATTCTACATTCTTCTCGATAATTCCTAAAAATTCACGGGTTTTTTGAAAATTTTGAGAAAACGCAAAAATTCACGGGTTTTCTAAACCAATTCCAACTATGAAAGAGTTACGATCATTGTGAAATAGTTTCGCGACTATTTGATCAGTGATTGGTCCATACTAGTCTTTTGAAATAAGAAATAACATCTCCACTTTTTTCGCTTACTATCACAGCGCCTGCACTGTTGAAAAATTACTTTTGCAGTTTTAAGCCGGAAATCTTGGAATTTTGAACAATGACGAATTTACCTGTAATTTCAGATATTTCATATATATTACCATTGACGAATTAATTAATTTCTTGAATTTCCAATGAAATTCTAATTTTTAGGTCCATACAGCAATGAAAATTATTGAGAGTTATGAAAATTTAGACAGTTATTTTCCTGGATTGCCATTTTATTAAAAACTCAAATGTATGTATTTAATTTTCACAACAACTTTGATAATGTAAACTGTCATCGAAATATCAATAATCGCTGAATAGGAGAAAAAATTAATTTTTTTCATTTATAATGAAAAAATTTTTTAGATTTTCAAGATTAATGAGAAATTTCATCGACGATTCGATCTCCAATTTCATTCCAATTCACAGCATTAAAAATTCGCGTACAATTCTGACTTGAATTTCAAGAGATTTCAACAGTGTAATGATTTCGAATAGGAAGTTCAGATTTATCTTGAGGAATTGAAGATCTCATCATAATCATGTGCAGGATTTTTTAATTCCAGTCGAGTTTCCTCTTCAAAACAAATTTCAATCCATTCATGAAATTTTTTCTGCATATCTTTAGAGAGAACCGAGTATTGAATTGGATGTCACGAGTAAACATGGTTCATTGAGTTTCGAATATAGTGATAATGAGTATGAGGGGACTGTTGGTGTTGAATGGAGCCGTGGTAATATTGGTGAGTACTGAAAGTCACACATACGAAGAAAATTCATAGAGAAACTTCTATTGAAAATTGCGATGCTTTTGTGTGCTTTCAATACGTATTTCTATTACAATGTTTCACCGAAAATATTTTATCAGAAAAGTCAACATATTTTGGAATTTAGATGAAAATAATTCCATTGAAATATTTTCAACAGAAAATATTTGCCATAAATTTTTCAAATTTTTTCATTGCATTTTTTTCCTTTTCGCGTTAGAAAATAAATGGAACAGGCTGAAGGCCTTCGGGCGCTGGCCAGTTGCAAACTCCTTTCGGCAAATTACGTTAAAAATAACAATAATAAATGAATGCAAATATGCAAAAATATTTATAAAGTTCACGCTGAAGGCTTCCTAGAGAAACAATCTCAACTGAATAAGTTCTGAATCTGGATTTTTTCCATATAATATTTTCTATCAAATATTTTTATTGAAAAAAAAACGTAGAAAAGCTGCGGATATTCTCAATAGAAGTCGAATAGAAATCGAATAGAATCTCCTGACGAATGCGCCAGGCGTTTCTATTATTTTTTTCGACCGTACAATAATGAAATTTGAGCACAAAATATTGACAGTTTTTCTGATTTATATTTTTACAGGAGGTGAATGTGTTTTTTGGGAATTTTGTGGTCGCGAGGATTTCTTGGCATCTTATCATCACGCCCTCACTTACCAGTTACCCGCCGTTCATTTGATTACGATTAGTCTACGAGACCCATTCACTGTTCAACTACAGCAAGCACGTTTTTGGCTACGTTTCATTATGGACAGAATTCCACCAAAGAATATTGGTAAAGAGAGATGGATTCCATACAAATTTAATGATAAAGTGGTGATACGTACAGTGGTTACTCCCTAACATTCCAGCCTCTGGGGCCAGAATTCAAGGAATTAAATGTTCGGCAAGCCATTACTCTTCCATTGGAGGCGGAGCTAATTTCACTCTCACACGCCGAGAGTAATTTTACTGCGCAGTCCCGTCGCGCAGAGGGACACAGATTTACCCAACACATTTAGGTTGTCGATGGTGGCGGAAGTCAACTTCTCCGACTGAAATGTTAGGGAGTAACCACTGTAATGACATGTACGAAAAAATTCCACAGAGAAATCTAGCACATTCGCTGGAAAATTCTATTAAATTCCATCAAGCTTCCAAATTTATCGGATTTTGTACGCTGAGAAAAAAAAATATTTTTGCCAAACATTCATTTACTTCATAATCATTTATTTTTAAAAAATCGTATTTCTTCAATCGAGTCATTCCCAAGCGAGCCTGATTAGGTTTCAATTATGATCATCATGTTGCTCTAGATGATGACTGCATTCTACATGACCTTGGATGAACTCTTCCAATGATTATTCAATTTTCCTAAATTTCTCATTTTCTAGAGGGAAGCATTTCGATTAATTGTTTAATGTTGATAATTATTTAGGGAGTCCACTCAAGGTCATAACTAACATGATCATCTTCTAGAGCAATATAATTGTCATAATTGAAACGTAATGAGGATTGCCTGGAAATTACTCGACTGGATGCATATTGAACAAGTAAATACTTCTCTGAAATAAATGGATATGTGGCAAAAATCTATTTTTTTCTCAGTGCAGCGAGAAAAAAGGAAAGGAGCAGAGAATAATTTAAAAATTGCATTTTTTTATAATTACGAGTATTTTCTATGGATAATTTATAAATAATCAATTTTCCACTATAAAAATCATTTGTTCGAAATCGTAATAAATTTATTCTTATTCAAAATTTTACCAGAAATCGATTTCATGTCTAAAAAAAAAAGGTTTCCGAAAGTTTAAACAATTTCAATTATTTATTCATAAACAATGAATATTTAAAAAACAATAATTCTATGCAAAATGTGATTTGAATGACGCTGAACATTCATGATCTTTTTCGAATTTTTCTCACGCAATTGAATTGACAAATTTAATGATTAAAAATGGTTGAATCTATAGTGTGGTACCAAACTATAAAAGATACTCGGATAGCCTTAAGGATATCCAATTACTTTGGCTATTTTTTCTCCAGTGAAGTGCTTTTCTACTTTTGTAGTTAAACATCAGAGCTTTCATTGGAGCCCCATTTGACCCTAAAGTTTCCGGGAATTATACAATGATTTTATTATTCAAACTTTGCAGGTCTGAATTTGAATCTCGATATTGCATCGTTAGAAAAAGTTTTAAAAACCTAAAAAAAAGTAGAAAGTTTACTTTTGGAGGAAGACTGATTAAATAATTTGAAAAATGGAATTTTTAAAATTACGAGCATTTTTTATAAATAATTTATAAAAAAATTAAAATTAAATTAAAAAAACAAATTTCCACTATACAAATCATTCGTTCGGAATCGTAGCAAATTTATTCTGATTCTGAATTTTACCAGAAATTGATTTCATGCCTAAAAAATGAGGTTTCCGAAAGTTTATATGTTGTCACTTCACTATTGAATAATCTTCAAGTATTCTACACAACCCAAGACACAATATTTTCATTCTCTAGGATTCGCTGGAAAGTGTCAAGATGTCAAAGTAATCCTCGTAGGTACTTACGCCCCAGAACTTCAAAGTCCAAATTCCAACGGAACAAACTTCCTCGCTCCACTATTGGAATTCCTCCAAGAATTCACCCCAATTTTAGGTGAAGAGCCACAGGTGGTGGTACTAGATGCCACAAATTCATCCAACCCTGGTGTCAAACTTCTTCGATCCTATCTGACAAATGCGCGAATGGAATTCCTCGAGGTAATCAATTTCCTGTCAATCATACTGAATAATGTCTTTTCCCCTCCCCCCTCTACCTTTCTGTCTCTCTGTCTACTAATTATTTTGTCCATTAACATTTTATTTTGAATATAAAAAAAAAATTCTCTTGATATGCTAGTGATCGCACGACATCATAGCATGCAACGACCCACAGAAGATAAGAATAATGATAATTGAGTTAATTCACCTAAAGTTAATAAACTTTCCTTTCAATGAGAATACAATTCATTCAGCATGATTTGGGCTCAACGGATCATTCGTGCGCATGTTACCATACAGATATATATTTTGTATAAATAATCTAATAATTGTATCATGTCATCTACATTAACGAACACTTTTGAGAGAAAAAAAGTTTGCGGCTGTGTTGCACACTTGGGTATAATCAGATATGGAGAGCGTGGGGTAAAATGGACCCAGCCAAATCTTCAATTTCTGCTGAATAAAGAATGTGAAAGAGATGAAGTGATTGCAAGAGAGTGTTGTTTATGATTCAAGATCATAAATCCATTGTAACATATGGTCCTCTCCTCATTATATCACGTCATACCCATTCACGTGTTATATGGGATTTCAATATCTCATTGTTCTCGTTACATGAGCAAGGTTAATTTTCAGATAACAACACATGAAAAGATGGCACAGTTTCATGTACATCAATTTTGATCAAGTCGACTCTGCACTCATGTATTCATTAATTTCATTACCACTTTCACATGTAAAAGGCATCACTGATTATGAAGAATTATCAACCAAGAAAAGTGCATAATTTATTTATTCACGGTATGTAATCTAACTCTGTTTGCATAATGTGTCTGAAAATCACCTCAATTGTGATACGAAGACCCGCGAAATCGAATGTCCGACACTTCTGCGTGTCCATCCAACATTTCACGTGCAAGTGTGCAAAACAGTCAAGTTTACTTGATGAGAAGACAATGGAATTTTGGGTGAAAATGTTCTCTTCTTGTAAACTATCGTTGATCAATCGAAACATTGATTATAAACATTGTTCAATTGATCCGGAAAATTAGTTATTAAATTCTAAACAGCAATAAGTGCCTTAATGCATGCAACGCATGATAATAGGATGGACGGGATGCAGCAGAAAGTATTCTCCGTCGTGACAAGCCCCGGGCAGCGGCCATGTACGCGCCAGTGGCAAATCATGATAACCAGGTCTCCATTTATCATCTTATTTCTCTCATTATAAATAACACTAATAATTTTAATTAATTTTTAATTGTCACTTGTGGTGCACAGTTTTTTCACGTTAATTGAGAACATACAATGCACTACCTTGCTTTTGAGATTACAAAAATATATGAGATAAAAAAATGCTTTCTTTGTGCTTATCGTGTATGACGATTGTGTCTGAGCGATGTGGTGGTGATGAATGATTGGATTTTAGGGGGCAATGGTGTGGACGGGATTGGCTGAAGTCTGGAGGGCATATGTTCTCACCCTGGAAGATCCACCTGTACTTCTAACGCTTCAAGAATTGCTTCTTGAAGTTAGGAAAATTAATCCACTGGTCTCTATTGAGCATTGCCGACATTTGGCACAGCAACTTCAGGTAACTTTCAGATACACAGTGTATTGTGTTACTACTATGTAAAGTTTCACTTTTTTGTACGCGTGTGTAATACATCCTATTTTATTTTAACGAGATAGATGAACATGATAGATCAATTGATTATACGATTCATCGTTCTTATTGTCAAAATAATACAATTCTCCATTTTAATAAAATTCACATGGGCATTGTATAATTGATACCAATTTTTGCGCAACATTTCGAACTGAATATCGAATAATTTCAGTGAACAATAATAAATATTCTTATTGGTCTTCTCTTTATCCTATCCTATCGTAAAAAGGAGAAAGGGAATCGATCTCGATATATCTCGAAAATCTCGAATAAGCGTAAGATCTCGAATCTCGAATCTCGAAAAGAGAGAAGATAAATGCGGGACACATTTTGGCCATCTCCTTTTTATTATAAAGAATAACAAACATGTCCCCTAGTGTGGCTCAGGCACCGTAGATTTCCAAATTTCACTTTGCCCGGAAATGGAAACGATGCTTGACTCTATGGAAAGACTAAGGGAATTTTTCCCGATTCTGAGAAACATTTCGCTGGGCGGCATAAGTAATGCAAAGTTACATGAAAATATTTGACCCACGGGCAGTATGTACTTATGAAGTTTGGTGGAAAGTCAAATTGCTTTATGACGGTCTGTTGCCAGGTAGCGAAAGTGTCGAGCAGTGCCGTGGGTATCTTCCAGGCAATGCAGTAGAGGTTTGCCTGCGCCCATTTACTAAACTACCTGGGTTGGGGCAGAATATTCAGAGAATATTTTTATTTCAGAAAAATAGTGAAAATAAATATTTTGAATTTTTTTTAGGTTTATTTTGCAGCCGTATCAGTTGAGAAAACCAATGAAAAAAATCAGTCGAGAAAACATGGAAAATATTTCCTAACCATTTCCAGTCATAGTTCAGACAAATAGCGGATTTTCTTAGGCTGAAATCGAAAAAATAACAGGAGCACGAAAAAATATGAATTTGACGGGGAATAACGTCAATAATAACATCTCATGTTTTCAGGACTATGTCAAGGGGGGGTGGTCCAAAAATAATGAAAAAGTGAACAAACAGGCGCAGCGCGGCCTTTCTCGCCTCACATTGTCAAAACTGTTACAGATACAATAAAAATGCATAGGACTCGATTTGTANACCATTTCCAGTCATAGTTCAGACAAATAGCGGATTTTCTTAGGCTGAAATCGAAAAAATAACAGGAGCACGAAAAAATATGAATTTGACGGGGAATAACGTCAATAATAACATCTCATGTTTTCAGGACTATGTCAAGGGGGGGTGGTCCAAAAATAATGAAAAAGTGAACAAACAGGCGCAGCGCGGCCTTTCTCGCCTCACATTGTCAAAACTGTTACAGATACAATAAAAATGCATAGGACTCGATTTGTAGAGGATGAAATTTCCGGCAAAAAACTCCCGACGGTATTTTTCTATCGTCAATAGTTTAACCACCAAGCGCGCCCGAAATTTCAACGCAAAAGTGCTCCTTCATCCCGCACGACAAAAAATCTATGTTAGTTGTTAAATTAAAAAAAAAACATCCAAACGTTGAAAAAAAAATCTGCGGGAATTCCCATATCATATTGAAACCCCAAATAAGCATTTTTTAGGAGGATTATTTTTTTTCCGTCATCTTTCAATTTTATACTGTTGAACAAATTTTCATTTTCTTCCAAGTTTTCAGTAAATTTCAATGCTTTATAACTTTTGAACGAATAATCGGATCGACAAAAATGAAAATTCATTTTCTTCGTTATTCATCCCGCCATCATTTTCATTTTTTAATATTTTGCTCTAATTTTCATATTTTGAACAATAATAAATCATAAACAAAAAAAATCCCCTTTCATCGTCTCTCCCATGTAAACAAATGATTTTTTTACATAACGGACTTTGTTATTTATGAAGTCTATGCCAGGGAAAATTGTAAGATTTTTTGTAAATTTTTAATGTTTTTGATCATGGGGTATTTTCAATAAACAAATACTAATTTCTGTTCTTCATTATTTGTCAATGCATGTCAATTTTCTTGGAATTTTTTTGAAATTCTTTGTCCTCTTGCGTTTTTATTAAATTCTCAATGTTACTAGATTTACAAATTTTCGAAGTTCCTTCACAAAATCGGTCTGTACGGACTCCCCCGCCTCCGATGCGTGCCCCTCCCAGTCTCCGCGCGTCCCTTGCCAATAAACTCCTGTAACTTCAAAAATTTATAACTCTAGTAATGGTGAGAATTTAATAAAAACGCAGAAAGGGAAAGAATTTCAAAAAAATTCAAAGAAAATTTACATGTATTGAAAAATAATGAAGAAAAAACTTTAGTGTTGGTTTATTGAAAATACCGTATAAACAAAAACATTAAAAATTTATAAAAAATCTTACAATTTTTGCTGACATGGACTTCATAGATAACAAAGTCCGTTATGTGAAAAAAATCATTTGTTCACATGGGAGAGACGATGAGAGGAAATTTTTTTTGTTCATGATTTATTATTGTGAAAAATATGCAAATTAGAGCAAAACATCAAAAGATGAAAATGATGGTGGGATCAATAATGAAGAAAATGAATTTTCATTTTCGCCAATCCGATTATTTGTTTAAAAGATACAAAGCATTAAAATTTACTTTGAGAAATTTCACTGGGAACGGAAAAGTTGTCAAGCTATATAGGTAATTTGGTTACACGATGGACGGAAGAATATTACCTGACGATATGAAAACCTTGGATGACTCATTTTGAAATAGTTTATGATGCGAAGAGTCAAACGCCTGACAGGTTTTTCATTTGGGTTTTAGGGGTGGAGCTCCCACCCATTTCGTCCTTCTAATGAATTACCTTCTTACAATTTTCCGCGTGCACTAGAAGTCAGTTGAGGAAAGATTCCCAAACAGTTGACATCGCAGTACTCGCTCCTTTAACGTGCTCTTCACGCTCAATATTCAGGAAAAATAACGCTTCAATATGCCGGAAACGCGACAAGACACAAACGTTGTGTTAATCGGTAACACAACACCAGAAATTTGTGGGAACCAATTGCCTTCGAATGAGCAGGTTTTGAGATGTTACTATTATTACACCAGACATAGTGTACCAAAACTCAATACCCGCGAAGCTTTGATGTGTGTTGTTCGGAAGTGCGCTGTGTTCTGGGAATATGCGGGGATCCCAATTGTGAAGGAGTGTCACGCAATAGATAAACTGGAAAAATTAGTGCAAAAACACAAAACCATCCTCAAGTTTGGCTCCTTGAAGGAGAAATATGTGAATTACCAAGTACAAGAGGTTGATTTCAAATGTATGCTGGGTAATCTCGTTGATATTGCTCATCAGAAACAAATGAGTCTGATGAAAGATGAAGTCGCCAGAACTTTATTGAGTCTTCACCAAGAGGAGGGACGGAGTGGTTGTTTGGATATGATCATCGACACAAGAACATGGAACCGCGGTGATACACAGAAGAAACCAGAAAAAGAAAAAACAGTGTTATCGAAACAAGGTACGTTACTATACACAATGAATTATTTTCTGATTATTCCGGAAACGAAAACGATGCAAACGAAATACATGAATCGACATATCTTTCTCATTGTGTCAAGGTATTTTACAACGATCACTCCACCAATTATCGTTTAGTCATGTCAGCTCTGTCTCCGGAATGGGGATCATATATTTTTCATTCACCTATTAACCCTAGATTGGCCACCTTATGAGGGAAATGCCGCAGTGCATTGTTTTTATTTTACTGCTGTTGACTGGTTGAGTCGAAAAATTCGAAAAAATTCAAGATCGATAATTGAAGTGTCTAAAAAATTACGGTATTTTTAAAATTCGAAATTTCTTGAAATTCTGAGAGAAAAAAAAATTTCTAAGTGCCGAACAATTTTTCCCCATGCTAAATTAAATTGCCTGTTGCGCGGCGTTACCAAAAACTCGCTAAACGCGCCCGGGCAGTGTAGAGTGAATTCACTAGAGTCAATTCGGCAACGCTGGAACCTAAATAACACGGTAGAGAATCCCTCATGAGGGGACCAGAGTCACAAGTTCTTGTTTCGTGACCAATCTAGGGTTAAATTCTCCCCTCAACTCGNAAATTGCCTGTTGCGCGGCGTTACCAAAAACTCGCTAAACGCGCCCGGGCAGTGTAGAGTGAATTCACTAGAGTCAATTCGGCAACGCTGGAACCTAAATAACACGGTAGAGAATCCCTCATGAGGGGACCAGAGTCACAAGTTCTTGTTTCGTGACCAATCTAGGGTTAAATTCTCCCCTCAACTCGTTCTATGAGTCATAAAAAAAAATCCCATGAAAAAAATTTGGTTTTCAAGTAAATAATGAACGTTAATAATTGATTGAAATTTTGTCGTTTAAACGCTCGGTCCGCTCACCCTGACGTCACAGCACAGTAGGTGATGTTGTACTCGCCAAAGGCGAGTGCAACCTCACGTGCTTGTCAAAAGAACACTTTACACATCAGTATCGAACTAGTATATTCCGATACAAGTACGGAAAAGTGGTTTTCAACTTGTGGGAGGTACTCGCCTTCGGCTCGTGCTACACACCTCCCACAAGTTAAAGAACACTTTTCTCACGAGTATCGAACCCTATTTTTCATCACAGAGTGCTCAAAGCTATGTTTTGCGCACGCAAAGTGTGCGTAAAACATTGCTTTACGTACTAGTGATGAAAAAGTATTTTCCGGTTTCCGCCATTGGGGATGGAGGGATGGGGGTTCGTCTAGTTCCCCAGCACGTAAGATACGGAGAACGTGCATGGCAGTGCAACTGCCGGGGCTTTCCAACTGTCAACCTTTCTCTTAACAATTAAGATACGGAGAAAAATCAACCTTGATTTGGAGAGATCAATTTTTTTATTGAGAAATTTTATACTTTATTTTTACTAGTATCGGTGCATACTTTATTTTCACTAGTACAGTTGTTCATCCCGCCCTATACTAAACGCCACAAAAGAA